GGGAGCTTTAAAGAAAAAATTAGGGAAATATATGGTAGGTAAAAGAAGGGGTTGGTCTTGGGAAAATAAAAAGGCAAAAGCAAATAGGTGTAAGAAATAGGGGTGAGGGGGGGGTGCTTTGGAGAGTATTAGGTGGATGGGATGGGATGGAAGGGAAAGGAGATGGTAGAGGGGATGGGTGGAAAGTAGTACTCTAAGTAAAGGAAAGATGTTGGGGAAAAGGGGACACAAGCCTAGGGATCGGTTTCGGGTGGTGTGTGTGTACGATTGGAAAATAAAATCGGGTGGAGGGACGTGGAGGATCGGCTTGGGTTTTGTAGGAAGCCGAGGGGGCCTAAGGGTGAGAGGCCGAATGATAGGATGAGGCCGAATGATAGGATAGGTGTGGGTCTTGGGGAAAATCGGCGGGGGTGGGGGGAAGGGAGGGGTGAGAGGCCGAATGGAAAAAGAAGAGAGTGGGAAGCCGAAGCCAAGGAGGGGGGGCGCCGAGTTGGAATCGGCTTGGGGTAGGGGAGAGGGGGGATTGGCGTGTCAAACGGCTTGGGGTAGGGGAGGCCGAATATGGATAGAGGCCGAATAGGGATAGGCGGGTGGGGGTCGGTTTGTTGGGGGTGTGAGTGAAGGGAATCGGGTAGAGAGGATGGAAAGGGATAGGGGAGCCGATGGGGTGGAGTTGTAATCGGTGTGTGAAGAAAAAGGAGGAAGTGCAAGGGATATTTATAAGGAGGAAGTGGGAGATCTAGGGTTAGAAAAAAAATATGGGATGGGCCGAAAGGGATGTGGGCCGAAGGAAGTTGGCCAATAGTGAGCAGCTTGTGTTCGGCTCGTGTGGGTGGAGGCTGAATGGGGGGGGTTAGGTGTGTGGGTGTTCGGCTTGTGGGTGGGAGCGGCTTGAGGAACAAACCGAATGAGAGAGGCCGAAAGGGGAATCGGTTTGTGTTGTGAATCGGCTGGTGGGGAAACCGATGTTAATCGGTGTGGGTGTGGGATTCGACTTATTGAGAAGAGAAAAAGAGAGTCCGAAAGGGGATGGGGGAAACCGATGAGAATGGTGTGAAGGGAAGCCGAAGGTGAGGAATTAGGTATTTAGAAAATCGGTTTGTAAGCCGAAGGTGTGGGTGTGGGATTCGACTTGTTGGGTCTTTGTAGACAAGCCGAATTGGAGAAGCCGAATAGGGGGGTCGCCGATCTTGAGTGAAGAAAGGGAGGTGGGTAAACCGAATGGGGAAGGAGCCGGAGAGGCCAAAGTGGGTTCGGCTTGCAAGGGAGGCCGATTGGGAAAGAGTTGTGAAAGAAGGTGGGTTGAAGAATCGGCTCGTGGGAGTAAGGGAAGGCCGATTGTAAAGGGATTTGTTGTGAGGGAAGCAAGAGTTGAATCGCCTAGGGAAGAGAGGAGGCCGGGCCTTAAGCATAAATTTAAGGAGTGAAGCTAGGCCCAAAGAAATGAGGCCCACACTACTGTCATTAAACACTACACACATAGAAATCTCAACACAAACCTAACTTTAAAATTATGATTAATTTTTTTTTTGTTTTAACGTAAAATAAAATTTAAAAAAATGCTAATAAATTTAAAAAAATACAAATTTTTAAGAACATCACATATAGACTTTTTAAAGAGAAAAAGAGAGAAATTGATTTTTAAGAAAAAAAATACACGAGTGTAAAACCCATCATTTTCAAAAAATCAATATTTTAGAAAGAGAAAGAAAGTAGACTCACACAGATACCAGACTATTTTTGAGCAAACGATACAATAACATTTCTAGAGAAAACGCAACCCAAATGAATTGGTGAAAACTCAAAAATTATTTGTCAACATTTAACAT